CATTTCACGTTGCAGTTTTAACTTCAAGGACTGAAGTTTACACATGGGGCAAGGGTGCAAATGGTCGTCTAGGCCACGGGGACATAGAGGATAGAAATACTCCAACATTAGTGGAAGCTCTGAAAGACAAACAAGTCAAAAGTATTGCTTGCGGTACTAATTTCACTGCTGCTATCTGTCTTCATAAGTGGGCATCTGGTGTCGACCAATCCATGTGTTCTGGCTGCCGTCTCCCTTTTAATTTCAAAAGAAAACGTCATAATTGTTATAATTGTGGACTTGTTTTTTGTCATTCTTGCAGCAGCAAGAAGTCTCTCAAGGCTTCAATGGCACCAAATCCCAACAAACCTTATCGGGTGTGTGATAATTGTTATAATAAACTAAGGAAAACTACTGATGCTGATTCTTCGTCCCATTCTTCTGTGAGCAGAAGAGGAAGTGTCAATCAGGGGCCACTCGAATTTAACGATAACGATGATAAATTTGATTCCAGATCTCGTAATCAGCTTGCTAGGTTTTCTGTAATGCAATCCTCGAAGCAAGTGGAAAGCAGGTCTTCAAAGAAAAACAAGAAATTGGAATTCAATAGTAGTCGTGTCTCACCCATTCCAAATGGAGGTTCCCAGTGGGGGGCATCGAATATTTCTAAATCTGTCAATCCTGTTTTTGGATCATCAAAGAAGTTTTTCTCAGCCTCTGTTCCAGGATCTAGAATTGTTTCTCGAGCAACATCCCCAATATCTAGACATCCTAGTCCACCTCGATCAACAACTCCAACCCCGACACTTGGAGGACTTACCTCCCCAAAGATAGGTGTTGATGATGTTAAGAGGATAAATGATAGCCTTAACCAAGAGATTATTAAATTAAGAGCACAGGTATCTTGTTTTTCCCATTCGTTGACAATATTGCGTTTTCTAGAATATGTTTTAACCGGAAATGGGTCCCAATTTAATTCACATTCACTGATAATACTGCCATTTTTTAAAACCTCTTGGACACTTAACTTGGATGTCTATTGTAGGGGCTTATCACTTCGTTTTTTCTTTCAGGTGGAAAATATGACTCGCAAAACTCAACTTCAAGAAGTTGAGTTGGAAAGAGCAACTAAACAGCTGAAGGAAGCCATAGCATATGCTGGCGAAGAAACTGCCAAATGCAAAGCAGCAAAGGAAGTGATCAAGTCACTTACAAATCAGGTAGCATGGATAATATAATATGAAGTAGTGGGGTGGCACAATAAGAAATTTGTAGGTGCTGTATTTCTTTTCTTTGTTTGTTTGTTTGTTTTTTTTTTTTTTTGGATAACATGGGAGGCGTATGCCTAAATAGGTTTCCAAATTTAATGTACTTCAGCAAATTTATTGACTCTTCACAACCAGAAAAACTCCCTAGAACCCCCCCTCCCTTGGGATCCCTTTTTACCACCCAAGAAACTAGACTCCTGTTAAAGCCTATTTCTCTTCTGCGTTCTGGAAGCAAAAGAAGCTAAGGAATGATTTTTCTTTGTATTGTAATGTGTATACACAGATACTAGCCAATGAATGTAATATTTTCTTTTGTTCTTTTTAATTTTGTTTAAAAACCAGCCACCATCTTAAAGAGCATTCAAGCAATGCTGGTTTAAGTTTTCTTTGGTTTGACAGTAAAATTTCCGAGCACATGGAAATGAATAGACAACATTGGTCCATGAAACTTAGCTCGGACACTATTAGGTGAAAGTTAAAAGGGCATATAACCATTGCCGTCACTGATAAGCATGTTTCTAAGTGTTCACAATCAAGCCGTCCAAATTTGGCCTTTCTCCTTCAGGTTCTGATGGAAGGCAATATCTCACTGGACACATGCACTGCATGGAAAACGTTGACTTGTGTTTAATGTATAAAAGTCTGTTATTATCACCAACGGTGGTTGGTCAAGTAGGAAGAACTCGATCCCCCTCAAGTAATATTGAAGGTTCAAACCTGGTGCATAGGAAAAAAATCATGCTGGGAGAGCTATTTCTAGGGCCTAACAATACTCAAATCTAACTCCACATTACTAGATAAATATCGGATACTTGTACAAAAACAAGGTGTATCACTGTCTCAAATTTGCACCTTTTTTAGACTAGAGAACTGGAAATTTGTTGTGATCTTTACTCATGTCCACCTGATACCACACTTGTTTGTTTTTCTGTTCTGATCAGCTGAAGGACATGTCTGAGAGGCTTCCTGCAGGAGCATCTAGGAACGTGAAATTTCCTTCTGTTGCTTCCTTTGAATCAAGTCCGACTTCTAATGAAGTCATCAATTCTTCTTCTATTGATGGATTAAATATCCAAGCTGCTAGCCTAGAACCAGAGTTGGCGGAATTGAACAGCCAGTCGCTTTCAAATGGCCAGTCACTTTCGAATGGATTAAGCACCTTCAGTAATCGAAGTGCAGGTCACAACAAACACAGCCAATCAGATGCAACGATTAGAAATGGGAGCAGAACAAAGGAAGGTGAGACTCGTGGTGAGGTTGGATGGGTTGAGCAAGATGAGCCTGGAGTATATATTACCTTTATCTCCCTTCCTGGAGGTGTGATAGATCTCAAGAGAGTTCGTTTCAGGTATGAGTGCATTGCTATTACTCTTTCAAATTACAGAATTTTGTATCGTAAATCATCAATATTGTTGAGAAGTTTAAATGGGAAAGAATATCATCCAGGACAAAGATGATGAAAACCTTTTATTAATCTATTCAACAAACGACAGTGAACCCTTCTAAGGGTGATTTATAAAGAAAACAACCTAACCCTCCTTGAAGGGCGGTAAACCAACCCCAAGTTTATGCCTGCAGTCTACCGCGTTGGTAAGGGTACCATGCATGAAAAAAAGACTAATTTTTTTTTTAAAAAAACGGAGCTAATTGTTGGGGGCAGAGCTAGTTGTTTTTTGCAACGAAAAGCTATTACATTTTTGGTTTAGTTGAATGATTAGTCTTGCATGGACCAAAAAAAAAGAGAGAGATTGTACTGTACATGAAAAAACCTGGTGAATTACCATACCTGGAATGGTGAAGCTACTCTTTTCCTCTCTCAATGTCAGTTCAAACACTTGACATGTGGGAGGATCATTATCCTCAACACCAACATGACAGTCAAATATTGACTAAAGGAGGGGAGAACCTGGACGAATAGAAATGGCTGCACTTGTGTTCTGGGACTCCATTGTTTTTGTCATGTTCTTAACAGCTCTAGGAATATTGTTAATCTCCTGCTTCATATTCCTTTTTCCTTGATACAACTCCAGCCCTTAAATAATTCTTCAATGGCCATCTTTCAGAAGCACATCAAATCCTACCAGAAATTTTAGATTTTGCTAGTTTTAGTGACTTTAGTTATGTTCTGACTTGTGAATGCAGTCGAAAGCGGTTTAGTGAGAAGCAAGCAGAACAATGGTGGGCCGAGAATCGGGCAAGAGTGTACGAGCAGTACAATGTGCGAGTGTCTGACAAGTCAACCATTGATGAAACAATCTGTAAATGAGATTGTTCTTTTCTGCATTTTGGTTGGATCTTACAGCAAAATAATGCTGATCAATTACATTTTGCTTCCGTCTCATATTAAAGATTTGAGGGAAGCTATCTAGGTTTGGCTTGATAAGGAGAGAATAGGGATTTGATTGTGTTTTTGTGATTATTTTCTTCTTAGTCTGATTTTACTTTCATTTTTCCCTATATATACGCACGCACCTTGCGTTGGGGGTTGAGGGTGAGGCATGTAAATTCTAAGTAGGTTGTTTGTTGGCTCTTTGGCGGTAAGTAGCAGCAATGTAAATTTTTATAAGCAAAAACTGCAGATTTTTATTTCTCTGCCGTTTGTTGGTTGCCTCTAGCAGAGATGTTTTTATGCTACCTGATATCATGCTTAAGAGAAAACTATCATGCTTTTTTTTAAGAAAAAAAAGAAAAGAAAATGAGGTTTGTGTGACTTTTTAAGAGGGATGTTTTTTTAAAAAAAAAATTAATTGTTTGTTGAATGGCAAAAGTACTAATTTAAAATTCCTTGGTTTGATTATGGACCTTTTTAAAGGGAGAATAACAAGTAAAAATCTTATAAAAAGGTTAATGTTAAATTAAGAATTTCAGTATTAAAATATGAGAAGAGTATTGAATTTAAAAATTTTAGTATTAAAAAAATCTTAATTTAACATTAATTTTCTTCTAGAGTCCTTACTTGTCATTCTCCCCATTTTAAATTGCCAACATGTTTTATTGTGGTCGAACTTTTGAATTAAATGAAATGAAATTAATATTTTTAAATATGTAAAGATAAATTTTATTATTTTTTGTTAATTTCTGATTTATTATATAAGTTTTTAATCGAACTCATTTTAAAAGCATTTTATACTAAATAAGGACTAGATCATCAGACCTTGAGGTTCATGTGAGAACAAACAATAGTTGTTATTATTATTATTATTATTTTGAGTGAAAATAGTTGTCAAATTATTGATTCTGTTGAATATAGTCTTGAAGGGCTCTATTAATAATTTTATGAAAAATTCACAATTATAATATTGAATAAATTTTCTTCTGATATAAATTACATTGAAAATTATTTTTATATGCATTGAAATAGACTGAGGTTTTTTTTTGGGGGGGGGTGTTTAACATGGAGATGTATGAGATATTGATCTGACTAGTTAGTTTTGTTTTAATCATCGTTTTTCTTCTTACCCTTTCTTTTCTTTTTCTTGCCTTCTCCATGCTTGATCATTGCCGCGACATGAAACATGGGGGAGAACCGGAGAAAGCAACACACACACACACACTACAACCTAACTAGTTTATATTGTAGATACAGGCAGAAACCAAGTAGCTGTTAGTCTGGTACACCACATAGCAAGTCAATGAATTTTAATTTAACACCATATCTTAAATCTATTTCAAAAAGAAAGGCCTCACATTTTTTATGTTACTAAAGTCTGACAGTCACCACCAAACAGTTTTTATCTATACACAATCCAATACTTAACAATTAACACTTAACACTTCAATTGATTTTTTCTATCAAATAAGCAAGAAGCTTCAGGAAAGATAGTCTAAGATACAATTCCAATACCTATGAAGTATGAACAGTGCTCAGTGGTGTAAACAAACAGACAAGTTTCACAGCTAAAAGCTGTCAAGTTCTCAAAATCGAAATTGTTACAGAGGAAACTCTTGAAAACATAGAGCAAATTGTAAGCAAAGTCAAATTTAAGCTGTGTTTGAATTCTCGTTTTAGCAGTCGGTTGCTTCGGTCAAAACCACGTTCTAGGGGAGCTAGAACGCAATCTCATATAGGCTCTTAGGCATCGCCTTCTTCCTTCAGAACAAGCTCAAATACTTCATCATCCCATGCAATAGGAGAAGATGGTGCGGAGTCCCATAGTAATGGAGGAGGAGATGGAGGATAGCTCCTCTGTATTGGAGAGTCCAACCAATCAGAAAACTTGGACATTGACAATTCAACTGGTTCTGGGTAGCAACGAGGGGATTGAGGGACCTAATAAAGCCACCAACAAGAAGTTAAGAGTATATGCTGCAACAAAGGGAAGCAAACAACATAAAGAATATAATTTAACAACGAAATGAATATATTTTTACTTTAATTTCTCTGGGTGATTAAATACTTCAATCAAGAAGTAATGTGACAAACTACAGCACAGCAAGTTTTAAATGAAGATTTGACAAAAAAGAAATAGCATGTGCGCAATGTTTTTGTGGGTTCCAAGGTCACCTTCCCTTCAACTATTCATAACCAAAATGAAACTGAAGTAGTCAAGAAAAAGGTATGAAAGGAGGGAATATTACCTTAGTCTGCTCAAGAATAGGCATCGAATCTGCAAGAAAAAAAATGAAATGATGATTCTGGACTCTCGTAGATAAGCTTTCAAGCATATTGTAAAAGTAGTAATACGAAATGGAAACATCCATCTTATTTTTTCCCCCTTCTTTTTCATCCAGATGAAGAGAAAAGAGATAATATTCAAATACATTGCACCCAATCTCACTTTAAACTATTTCTGTAAACTGTAATTCTGTTCTAAACAAATTTTGGTAAACAATTTCTGAAGTAAATTAAGTGTCCAATCACATCCCTTTCTTCATATTCTCCACAGCAACTCTGTCCCCCAAATCATGTTTCATCCTTGAGATTGCTTTGTTATTCTTCAAAGTTTTACTTTATATTAGCAACATGAATCTTACATTCCATGCTAGAGGACTATGAATAACTTGGTGAAGTAAGGGCCAGAAACAAATACCATCTCGTGGAAGAACCATCTCTAGATATGAAGCATTCATTGCTTCTTTTTGGGCCTCGATGCACTTCTTGTGGTCATGCAAGAACATTTCCTCCTTCACATTAGTTTCTTGCTCTTCCTTGGGAGCATTCTTTTTCCTTGATGAGGCTTCAACAAAAACAGATTTGCTTTTGTTTGTAATGTCGTTGAGAGCTTTTCGACCACTAGGCACTAAGCCAACTTTCCTTCCATCCACTTTAAAATTGTTTGTCTTCCCGGTCAAGGCAGCTTCTATTACAAGTCGTAACAAATAAAACAGGAGAAAATCACCATAGTAAGAATGCTTTGTGTATGTGATAATAATATTAATACCATCTTATTAACTGTAAAAATAATTCTCCGTTACTTTATTCTTGAGCACATCTAGTAAACAAAAATCTTCCTGATGTTACACCTCCCTACGCAGGCCAAGTGTGGAAAGAAACAAAAGCCTTACTTTTGGGTTTGCATTGAAGACCCAAATTTTCATCTTGGATCATCAGCTTCCCGGGAGTAGTATACTTGGCCATTATCTTGTTCAATTCAATGCAGAAATAAGAGGCTTGGTTACTGGGTTCTGCAGCAAACACATGAGACAACATGAATTGAAAAGGTTAAAAAAAAAAAAGTTATTGCACACATGGTAAAAGAACTCTTGAAAATGCTCAGTTTTACCGATCTAAAGATACATTCTCTGATTTTCAGTCTGAAAAATACAAAGAACAAACAAAACAAGCCCCAAAGATTTATGTCCTTGATAATTCCACTCTACTATAAACAGTTTAGAGAATTGTCCCAGAAATCTGAGATATAGTGGTCCTTTGCAGATAAATGGGCTACAAGAATCTCGTGGCGCGACTCAAAACTTACAATCTGAACACAAAGTAAAAGATAGGAGAATTGGAGACATCTGCAGCAAGTATAACACGCCTCAGTCTAAAACAGATTCTTAACTCTCAACGAACCCATATTTTCCGATTAAGTAATGAACGGTTCTGTTCTCTTTACTCTTTCATCCTTTGTTCAATTTTCTTCTCTCGATATACACAGACACACACCATTTCACATTTCCCTTTACCCTAATTTTCTACCAACTAAGAACCCCTTTAATCTGTTCGCAGAAAAAGGGAGAAATTGAAGCAGAATCGAATGATACCTGAGAGAACAAAGGCTGTCAAGAAGATGAACGAACCACGATGCCGAAATTCTTCACAGTTTAGTTTGAATTTTGCTTGCCCGCGAGAGGACGATGCTATCGTGAAGAGGGGTTTTGTTTCTGACCGTTACAAATCGAATGATAGCATGAGGGGCTCAAAATGTTTTGAAAATTCAAGGAGGGCCCAACATTCTTAATTGTAATTAACTTCAAAGCTCTCCCATTAAGAATCTATGTGTCTTTATTTTTTATTTTATTTTAAAAAACCACCACTACTGTGCCAGAGCAACTATTAAAGTTTTGAACCCATTACCCTTTGAGGGCTCATTCGTTATGATAGAAATGGATGGTATAAAAATGAAATTGAGAGAAATATTTGTTTTATATTATGGAATTAAAAAATTTATCAATTCCAATCCCACCATTTTCAATTTAAAAATTGGTAGAATTGCCTTTCATAATAAATTCAATTTTCAAATTTCATCTTCTTATTTACAAATTTCAACCTTCCCCTGGTTGGCGAATGTCTTAGCGCAAGCAACTTCTAGCAACTAGTGCCAACAACTTTCAATAACCAATGCTCATAAATGGCCTCAAGAACACACAATTCCTTTAAATGGCAAGAACCAACCAGACCATCAATCCCCCCAAGTTTTGAGTGGCTAACAATCTTAGCATCTCAAATTTCCAGATCTACCTTCTATCTTTCTCCCATTACCAAATCTCTATTCAGACTCCTTTCCTAACTTTCAAATTTCCTTTACAATGGCACTTTTTGTGCAATTTTTTTTTGTTCTATTCTTTTTGCTTTCTTTGTCACTTCACATCATTGTCTTGATATGTTATAGATCTCCCCTAGCCCTTCCTTCTCTTCACCCACCCTCTCCCTATCTTGTCTTCTCTCGATTCCTCCCTTGCTCCTTTCATTAATGCTCTTAACTCTGCTCCTGCTAATTCACCCTTGGGTTTATCACCTCTCACACCTTTTACTAACAAATTCCTATGACGACCTTTCATTTTGAAATTTTCAACTATGAATAGTGGTTCCTTATTATTGGTCTGAGTTATTATGGGTTGCAAGAGGATGGGTTGATTTTTTTGGAGTTGGCTTCCTTTCGCTGAGGGAAGCCTTCTCCACCCCTTCGCTAAGAGAGGGGTAAATCTAGGTCGTTTATATTTAATTTTTTTTAAAATTTTATTTTTAATTTATATATTTTAATTTAGAAAATATATAAATTATAAAAAAATTTAATAAATATGCTTATTAATCTAATAGTCTAAATTTAATATTAAAAATTTAAATTAAATTTTATCTAAATTTAATATTAAAAATTTAAATTAAATTTTTAGATATATTCTGAATAGTGTAGATATATTGTAAATAGAACAGTAAACTTATTAAAAAAATTAATATTAAATTTAGATCACTTATATTAAAATTGGATTATAGATCGATAAACATATTTATTAAATTTTTTTATAATTTTTATATATTTTGGATTTTAAAAATATAAATTAAAAATATTAATTATAGACTCTTCAAATTTGCCCCTCCCTCAACCAAGAGGCAGAGGAGGCTTCCCTCAGTGGAGAGAAGCCAACTCGAAATTTTTTTGGGTATGAGGGTATTTTAATATTTTTATATTTTAAATATCATTTATTAAATAAAAAATAAGTTATCAATTTCATGAACATCCAAACATATTTTTAAATCTCACTTTCATCTCCATTTTCTTTTTCATTAAAATCATTTTCAACATATTAGGTGAGGCATTAGTTTCTCAAAACATACTCCCTCCGTCTTTATATATAAAGTGTTTTTAACCAAATTTCGCATACCAATAAAGGTTTGTTATTTTATTGAACTAACATAAAAATATAATGATTTTTTCAATTTTACTACTAATAATATCATAATTAATATCATGATGGTGGTAGGAAAAACATACAATTAACGATCTATTTCATTTTCCAAGACAAGTATAAAATTGTGTAATTACTCAAAAATATCATTGTCACCCCTTATATTTAAGGACAAAATAAGCTTATAAAAAACACCTTATATATAGAGATGGAGAGAGTAATTATTGAAGCAACTAAACATTTAATATAATATGGGTTAATGAGTAAAATAGACCCTGAAGTATTGCTCAAAAAGTGCCCTGAACTTAAACTCTTAAAATGTACAAAATGGACCTAAACTTTTAAATTTATAGCAAACTAAACCCTGTCATTAACTCACCATTAACGTCATTATTGTTCACTCAATAAGGCCCACTCAAAATGCTGATGTGACAGTCCCTTGCTAATGTATCATTTTTAATCAACACTATAAACTTTAAACTATTATGTAACTAGCATCCTGGACCTTGAACTTTAAATTTCGAAGCAAATTACCCCCAGTTTATGTGTAGAATGTCGATTATTAAGTAAATAAAATTAGTCTCAAGTGTTCCACCATAATGAATGAATGTTAGCCTCGGCGAATGACTCATAATTTTATAAAATGATATTTTTTCCTCCTTTTTTGCAATATTTTCTAAATGATTAATATCTCATGCTTACATATACTCTATAACTCTGATTTAGCCTTATTTTGAATAATATTTATTTATTTAATGGTGAAAATTTAGGATCTTATTTGAAAAAAAGTTTAGGATTTTAATTAACCGGTTAATTTAGATTTGAAATTCATTGATAAAATTGTTAACTTTCACATTCATCATCTGTAAAATCTTCTGATACTTAAACTTTTTTCAAATGGAATCCTAAGTTTTTACCATTAAATAAATAAACATTATTCAAGATAAGACTAAATTAGAGTTATAAAGTATATGAAAGCAAAAGATACCAATTATTTGAAAAACATTACAAAAAAATCATTTCACATAATTATGGGTCATTTGTCACGGCCAACGATGCATTCAACGGGGTGGATCACATTGAGGCTAATTTAATTTACATAATAGTCAGCGTTTTACATATAAACAATGGGAGTAATTTACTTTGAATTTCAAAGTGCAGGGCCTAGATGCTACTAGCTCAATAGTTTAGGGTCTGTGATGCTAATTAAAAACAACACATCAGCATTTTGACTGGGCCCCACTGAGTGAACAGTAATGGTGTTATTGGTTAGTTCATGATGGGGTTTAATTTATTATGAATTTAAAAATTTAGGGTCCATCTTATATATTTTAAAAGTTTAGTGTTTAGGGCGCTTTTTGTACAATGCTTCAAAGCCCATTTTGCTCATTACCCTAGTAACATACATACATACATACATATATATATTATAAGTTTTGTTTTCAAGTATTTTCATGACTCATTAATAATTCTAGACAAATTGTTACTAATATCTAAACAATTACTCCCTTCGATTAAAAATATAAGACATTTTTTGAGATGTTAGATGTTAAAAAATGTAAGGCATTTTTAATCTTTTAAGGTGTAACAATTACTTTTTTTTTCAAAAGTTCCCTATTAATAATGACTTTATATTTATCATAGGATGTTTAATAGAGGTAAATATAAAAGATAGAATTTGTTTGAAAGTAGGTAACTATTTTATTAGAGGGTGAGATTCAGTTAAAAATACCTTTATATTTTAAAATAAAAGGAGTACTTGTTAATATTTAAACATGACTTGTGAAAAACAAGTTGTTAATTTTCAAAAGGCCAATTTATTCTCCTGACAAATTACCAATATTATACTAAATAAAATATATAATGAAAAAAATTATTATCTCCTTTAATTTTTGACTCAATTATATCTCTAAACTTTGACTTATAACTTAGTCTTTATAATTTGAATTTGATTGTAACTTTAACTTTATACATTTAGCCCTTATAATTTTATAAATTTAAAATAATGATTCTTATATTTTAGTAAAAAAAATTATAAATTTTTAAATGTTAATCTTTACAAAGATTAAAAGTTTTAGTAATTTAAAATATTAGCCCATTCATTTCAAAATCCTTTATTTGTGTTCCCGAACACTCTCACGAGCCTGGTATTCACATGGTACACTTCTCTGCCTCGCAACTCGATCATCAACTGGATGAAAATAGAGCAGAAGTTTCATATCCAGTTCTACAAGGTAGAGCCAGAGGTTAGTATAGTAGAACTTTGCAAGCTCACCCAACGGGCTGGAGAGACAATCGACTAATACCTAATAAGGTTCAAACAACTAAGGAGAATGTGCCATGTGTTGCTTTCAAAAATTGAATTCGTCTAGCTGACACAAGCAGGTTTGGATATAGAACTTTGAAAGAAATTTCAAGGGATGCTATTTGAATCAGTTCATTGGCCTTCCAATTCTGAGCTTGGTAAACATGAGTTAACATTACAGTCTCGAACTATTTGAATACATAAAAATTTATGGATATATTTGGCTAAGATTTGATATTCAAATGCATTGAAGTTTTGGAATCCATGTTTTATTATAATTTATTTGTAATGTTAAATTTCCTTACAATATAGTTATTTGAAAGTTCGGTTACTTTGAGCCTCTCATATTGTTCTTGTTTTCAATATTTATGTTACTCTAACCTCTCATCTCATCTCTTGCCCTTGGCTTTTATTAATTGAAAAGTAGAGATAAATTTGTCTTTTTCACTCTTTCATTTTTGTTTCAAATATTAGCTCATTTCTTTTCTACTTTTAAAATTTTGTAGGGCAATTCTCTAAGAAAAAATTTTAATTTAATACTCCTAATGAAAATTGAAAAAGAAAATTTGATTTTATAAACTGTTTACATTTTTATTGTTTTTTATGAAAATTCTATAAGTGTAAAAAATATTTAAACGACAACTTAATTATATAAATTTTAAAATATAAAAATTATGTAATTAATTTTAAAGTCATATAATCATTTAAAAAATATAAAAGTTCTTTTTTTAATTTCAATAATTTTTAATTTTAAAGATAAAAAAATTTAATTAATCAAATTATAATGACTTAGTTAAAATAAAATAAACAGTGAAAGTTTAATTTAAAATTGAAAAAAACTATAACAACTTGAAAATATATTTAAAATCATTTATATATTTTTGTTAAATTTTTAATTAAACCTAATTCAAAGTCTGTACCGTTTCATCAATAAAATTTTTAATCCATTAAAAGCATTGATTTTTTTAAAAAATAAAATTAAGAACTTTTATATTTTTATTAAATGATTATGTAACTTTGAAATTAATTACATAATTTTTATATTTCAAAATTTATATAATTAGGTTATCTTTGAAATATTGTTTATACTTATTGAATTTTCATAAAAAATTAAAAAAATGTCAACAGTGTATAAAATTAATTTCTTTTTCAATTTTGGCTAAGAGTATTAATTTTTTTTTTTTAGTTTTGCATCAACACCCTCTTGGGTAATCATAACCCTTCCTTTCATTTTCAAATCATGGTTTATTTTAAATTAATTTTTTAATATTTTTAATATTATATTTGTGAAAATAAAAATTTTAATATTAAATTTGAACTATTCAGAATATATTTAGATAATTTATTTGTAAAAAATTAGTATTAAATTGGATTGTTGTCTGATTTAATGACCACAATTCTTTTAAAGAATTTTCTTTTTCCTTTTTTTACCTTAAGATTTATAAAAAAAATTATTTAAATTTACTCTTATTTTCTGCTTGACAAAAAACCCTGTTATTATACGGAATATATTTTTGAAACCCATTTTCAATTTTTTTTCTTTTTTTTTTATTACCATTATATTTTCAATTCTAATTTTTATTAAACTAAATGCGGGGCTTTTGCCCCAATCATAATATATGCTTATTGGACTTGAAAAGAGAGCCAAACTTGTTTAAGCCATCATAATAGGAGGGTTAAACTTGCAAATAGAAACTTAAAATGATAAATCATATTTAAACGAGCTGATGAATGGGCTCAAAATTTAAAGGACTTAAATCCTGCTTATATGTATTTTTTAAAAAAATTAATTTACACGACTTCAGTCTCATGAGGAAAATCAATTTAAATTTTAGATCAATTTACATGCTGCTGAGGAGTGAGGAGGGAAGTGGGGCAAAAAAAAAAAAAAAACCCTAAATCCCGTTCACGATTCAATCTTCATCTTTCACTCAATTTCAATCAGACGCTTGCCTCGCTTTCACTCACTCAAATTAACCCTGTAAGCTCGTGCTCGCCGCCTCCGTGCCTCGCCTTTGCTTGCGCTCGTGCAGTCGTACTCGCCGCCGCCGCGCCTCGCCTTCGCTCGTGCTCGTGTTATTGAATAAGGGTCGAATCCTAGGGCTTTGTCTGCGTCCAAAATCCGGTGAGATTGATTTATTCAATCTGTCTTTGAATATGGATTTGAATTTCTTGCCCGCGTCATGTGTTCCTGCGTGGTTGTCGACCATGTGTTGGACAACGTTGCCCCGTTTCCTGGTTTTATTTTTATTTTTTTCATTTTAGTTTGGCTTTGAATCTGGTCGTGTTATCATTTGTTGTAAGAAGCTTTTTAATTCTTTCCACACTGTCCATTATGTCCTTTAATAGTTAATTGAAAAAATTAAAGCTCTGAGTTAATTGAACCTTTTCTTTTTGGTGATCACAGGATACAGGAAGTGATCGGTTCTTAAAATAGCCTTCCTCTGGTCTGTTTCTTCTTTTATTTCGGGAGATTCTTGAAACTGAATTAAATTGGCATGGGTAGAAGGCACAGCAGTGAACCCAGGGAAGAGCATGTGAAGGATGAGAGAGATAGACATCGTTATCACAGCAGACATAGACGAGATAGGACCGATGAACGTAAAAATAGGCATAGAGAGCATGACACTGAGGACAGATACAAAATCAAAGATCGCTATGCATATCATAATTCGGAGGATGAAATTGAGAGGAAATCAGAAAGAGATAGAGAAAAGGAGCACAGAATTACTAAGGATGGTTATGGTGAGAAGTATCGTAGGGATAAGTATGAGAGGAAGCAAGAAGAAGATAATAGGAAGAAAGAGGATGGACAGGGAAGGTTAGATGGGGATTCAAAACCTCAAAGACAATCAACAACTCTGGAGGGGAACCTGAATGGCGATACATCGAATTTGGGTAGGAGCGGAGGAGTTTACATCCCTCCATTTAAGTTGGCTCGCATGATGAAGGAAGTTCAAGACAAAAGTAGTGTTGAGTACCAGCGGTTAACATGGGATGCTCTTAGGAAGAGCATTAATGGACTTGTGAACAAGGTTAATGCTGCTAATATAAAAAATATAATTCCAGAACTATTTGCAGAGAATTTAATAAGAGGAAGAGGCTTGTTTTGCCGGTCTTGTATGAAGTCTCAAATGGCTTCTCCAGGTTTTACTGATGTTTTTGCTGCGCTGGTTGCTGTTGTGAACACCAAATTTCCTGAGGTGGGTGATCTTTTATTGAGAAGAATTGTCTTGCAGCTTAAGAGAGCTTATAAGCGAAATGACAAGGTAGATGTGTTATGTTATCACAGTATTCTTGTGCTAATTTATTGTATGTGTTGTTTTATTCCAAGACCAAAATATTCAACTTGATTTTTTTTCTTATATGTTTGTTTATGTTCCCTTCATGTGTAGCCTCAATTACTAGCCGCAGTCAAGTTTATTGCACATCTTGTAAACCAGCAAGTGGCTCATGAGATTGTTGCTCTAGAGTTGCTCACAGTTTTACTGGAGAAGCCTACTGATGACAGTGTTGAAGTAGCTGTTGGTTTTGTCACAGAGTGTGGGTCAAAATTGCAAGATGTCTCGCCAAGAGGCCTTCACGGTGAGTATTTGCTTGGAGGGCTTTAGTTTATTTTTTGACTACTTTAGCCTTTTCCAACATTATATTCGCCAAGTTTCCTAAGCAGTCTTCATTTACATGAATCCTTTTTTCTGCTTCATTTTACGTAAAACCATGGTACGGGTATAAGGGTTCTATTTGGATTGGATTATCTTCTTTTTATGAGAAAAAGCAAAGTGAAACCAAGGTTTGATGACTCTAGGCTGGTGCTTGGTGTTGGTTAATGAAGGAATTAAAACTTTAAGAGGCTGTATAGAGTCTTAAGATGAAATAATACTAAGAAACGAGCTGGATGAGAGTTTAAGTTGAAGGACTGTGAGGTGATACCATGATAAGTGTTTTACCATCAGATAGTCATGCTTTGAAGAGAGCCTATTTGGTCCTTGGTGTGGAAAAGGAGAAAGACTTTTTCCCCTAACAAGTACTTTAGTTTTTACTTGAATATGGCCAAGACACAAAATTGCTTTTACTGTGATATTCTCACATAAAACCATAAGTTAAGATTATAAATGTTCAAAGTATTTTCTCCATCTAAATTATATTGATGGTGAATAAAATTTGAAATATGCATGTTTTAGTGATTTAACTATACATTATATATATTTTTATATTTTGGAAGATTGGCCAAACAGTGATGGCATGGTAAAAGCCTATATTACATTTCAACTAAACATTAAGAAACCTTTTGAGTAGGAGTAAGATGGAAAATCTATATTGTAATTTTGATAAGAAGTTGGTGAGTAGTAATTTGGAAGTGAAATTGGATGATCAGATTATACCTCAAGTGGAAAAATCTAGACATTTGGTAGTGATTATTCAATATAATATGGAAATTGATGGAAGATATTGCACATATGAAGTAAGATGAGTGGTTTAATTGGAGAAAGGTTAAAAGGAGTTATTTGTAATTGTAAGTTACCTAATAAATTTAAAGGAAAGTTTTATCGAACTGCTATAAGACCAACAATATTATATGACAGTGAATGTTAGGTTTTAATGGGACGGCAAGAGCATAAAGGTGGAGTAGTAGAGATGAAAATGTTGAGATGGATGTGAGGATGTATACGTAAAAACAAAATTCGAAATTAGTGCATACAGGAAAAAGTGGGTGTTACACCTATTGAAAAAAAAATGGTAGAAAATCATTTGAGGTGGTTTAGACACGTGCAAAGAAGACTATTGGAGGCACCTGTGAGGAGAGTGGAACAGATAACTTTGAGCTTTGTTAAGAGAAGTAAAGTCGTAGAGGAAGGGTAAAGAGAACACTTTTAGAAGTTGTTAATTGAGATCTCTTGATTAAAAATATTTCTTAAAGCTTAATAAATGATAGAGTACAATGGTGTTGTATAATTCATATAGTCAACCCCACCTAGTGGGATAAGGCTTATTGTTGTATTATGCGCTTTGCTGAATTTCTAGTGGTGCTTGATTTATAAGACTAATCTGGGTAAAACCTTAGCGTATGTTTAGGCACCATTGGAAGGCTTTGTTAGAAAATATTGGAATGATGTTACATCAATGCCCATTTTTATTTTATTTTGAAATTACTAATCTTTTGTCATATTTGTGTACAAAAAAATTAATAAAAGTTATTGACATTTTGAATGGGTCAAAAGTAATTTTCTTTTGCATTTTGTTATGCACCTCCTTGGGCTTTGCAGAAATACGCACATGGAAGGCATGCATGAATACGTGCAAATAATGCTCAAGCCTTCATGCCAATTTCTGTCTTGGATACTTTTATGAGACTATCGTTTTGTGCTTTTGCAGGTATTTTTGAGCGATTTCGTGGAATTCTTCATGAAGGAGAAATTGACAAACGTGTTCAGTTCTTGATTGAAGGCCTATTTGCAATTCGAAAGGCCCAGTTTCAGGTATTTTTTTTTAAATTTTCAATAGATGTTAGCACAGTAGGATGAAGCGTCAATTTGCACAATAATTTTGAAGATCAGCTCCAAAGTGACAGTCCGATATTTGTTTTTACAGGGCTATCCAGCCATTCGTCCTGAACTAGACCTTGTGGAGGAGGAAGACCAGTTGACGCATGAAGTCTCCTTGGATGAGGAGATAGATCCAGAGATTTCCCTTGGTACTGCTTGAGTTTTAAAATTAATTTCTATGCGTCGTTTGATCCAACTTGTATGTGTGATTGCTCATTTTTCTCATCCACTTTTTTCTATCAGATGTATTCAAGCCAGATCCAAATTTCACGGAGAACGAGAAGCGTTATGAAGAGTTAAGGAAAACAATACTAGGTGATGAATCTGAGGATGAAGAAGGCTCTAATGCTGAGTCAGATGATGATGGAGATGAGGATGAGGATGAAGATGAAGATGAAGATGATGATGAAATGGAAGAGGAACAGATGAAGATTAGAGATGAGACAGAGACAAATCTTATCAATCTTCGAAGAACAATTTACTTAACAATTATGTCCAGTGTAGATTTTGAGGAAGCTGGTCATAAACTTTTGAAAATCAAGCTAGAGCCGGGTCAGGAGGTAGGTTTGGAATCTCTACTGTCAGTTACTGCAATGTTGTTTAAAGTTACCCATCGTTTGCCTTTCCTTGAAATAAATGGCAAATGAACTGAGCAAACGATCTTCATTTAATTTCATTCTCAAGGTCCTACAGAATTTTGAAGATACAAACCCATAATTGTTGGACAAAAAAGATATATATCCTAGCTTAAAAGAGATATGGCTCGTGTTAAAACCCTGCCATAATTCTGCCAGTCCCTCTGAATTGACCTTTTCTCTTTCGTGCATCCTCCTTAATGGAGATCCATCATAATCTTTTTGATGGCTCCTCCACCCCTCCCGCCCTCCTCTTTTGTTTTAAAAGTAGTTTGTTTTAGTTGATAAAATTACTGATTTATCTTGTTGGATTTTGGCAGATGGAACTGTGCATTATGCTTTTGGAATGTTGCAGCCAAGAGAGAACTTACCTCCGGTACTATGGTCTTCTGGGGCAGCGATTCTGCATGATCAACAGAGTCTACCAAGAAAATTTTGACAAGTGTTTTGTACAGCAATACTCAATGATCCACCGGCTTGAAACAAATAAATTGCGCAATGTGGCAAAGTTTTTCGCTCATTTACTGGGCACTGATGCATTACCCTGGCATGTTTTATCATATATACGGTTAACTGAGGAGGACACTACCTCATCTTCCCGTATATTCATTAAGATTCTCTTCCAGGTACGGAGTTGCGAACTTGAACATATCTCTTTTTACTGTGGAACTTGTCTATGTGGTAGATTAACGTTGTATACCTCTCTGGAAGATGCTGATGAGTTCACCTTGTGATTGCTTCTGCTGCAGGAATTGTCTGAACATCTCGGCATCCGCCTTTTAAATGAGCGGCTGAATGATCCAACAATGCAGGATTCTTTTGAATGTATATTTCCAAAAGATAATCCAAAGAACACACGGTTTGCCATTAACTTCTTCACATCCATTGGTCTTGGTGGTCTTACTGAGAACCTCCGAGAGTATTTGAAGAATATGCCACGGCTTATCATGCAACAACAGAAACCAGTTTCCGATTCAGAATCAGATGACGAGTCTGGGAGTTCTGATTCTTCAGATTCAGGATCTGCCAGTTCTGAGTCCGAGTCCAAGTCAGACTCATCTAGTTCTGATGAGAGTGACAAGGGGCGAAGAAAGAGGAGGAGAAGGTGAAGTGGTTTTGTGCTTATTACATAAATGTGAGTAGTACAACCTCTTGTAGATTTTTAATGCTAAATACTGTATCTCCAAATAGGCTTAAAGGAGGTTCATAATGCCCCCACTAATTTTGTTTGTTATTTGCCTTGTGAAAATTCAATGGCATGTGTCCTATTAAAGTGAAGCTCTTGAATTGAGTCTTTGTTAAAAAGTTCCTACTTCATTTTCTTGACATTCATGTAGGCTGTAGTTATTTATGTTGGCAATTTCAACATTTATTTAAGTGTATTGTAATATAAATTATGATAATTATAATTAGAAATGACTTTTATATGCAGTTTGTCATTTGATGACCGTAGCTTTTGTAAAATTTTCGCTTGCAACAAACGAAAGTACGTAAACTCAACAAGCAAATATTATGATTTTTGTAATTTCAAAATGGAATGAATGGAGAAAACATGTTTAACTATTGTCTATTTGCTGTTAAAAATCTTGAATAATCAACACTTAAAAATTCAAAACCATATTGTTGAAGCATTAAAAAAAAAGAGCACTTCTTGACCCTCTAAAATCAATTTTTTTTTTTTTGGATGATAGTTAAACCGGACTAGGCGAACACTGCTATATGTAATTAACTTTCGTTCAATTTCAATAGCCATGCTTTTCATTTTAAAGCAGATCAAAAAATGCAATCAATCCTCGCTTAGTGTGATAATGTAAGAACAACTTTCACATTACTTAATCTCATGATATATGTACATATGTTTTGTCGGGATCCAATTTTGAAACCAATGAAAAAAATTTTCTCGTTCAAATTGGGAAAACTACAATGCTGAAGAACAACTGCTTTGCTCCATTTGCATCTCCATGCTTACAAGCAACAAAAATTTAGCATTCTAAGCCAAAAAAAAAAAATCACATTGAAGATGTCTTGAGCAAGGTTACCTTCAATAAAAGGATATCTGCATGTAATTAAAAAAAAATCACATTGAAGATGACTGAGTTCTCGCAAGCAAATCTTCAATCCTTGCTGTTGCTGTGCAGAGAGGTTCACACACTGTTTAAGTGGGTAAACTATTTCTCAGAGACCAGCTATTCTGCAAGGCATCGGATCAGTTCTTGAATCATCTTCCAACTAGATGAACCTCCATGACAAAAATCCTGAGATTCTCATATGAACATAATGGCTCCAAAACCCCCTTCTATGGTTTCATTACATGAAAAAATGTACAATATCCTCTGATGGGCATGCCTGTGCTCTGCAGAATCCAAGCTTTTTGCCTTCCCCAGATTCAACAATTGAATCAGGAACTTTTGTGGTCTCAGATAAAAAACAATCTAGTATAATTCTTGTCTTTTTAAACACATGCTATCAGATGGTGGCATATTTTCCTCATCATGTTTCAAGAATTCCGCATTTCCGTTACAAAGTCTCACTGATAATGAAGGCGAAAAAGGTGTGCTGTTTCCTTCTGCAATTATTTCAACACAAATGTATGGAGAAAATTATCATGAGGTTCCACATTCTAATATGTCTTGTAAATGGCACCAGAATTAAATATGTCATCAAATGTTTCAAGTCAAAAAGTTCAAATAATTAAGTGAAAAGCCATATATACTTTCATTACAATGCCTAACAAGTCGCCTAACTGAAGTCCTTAAGGTTTGGTGCTTGTATAAAGAAACCATATCTTTTATTGGGGTCAAGTGTGAATAAAGAATAAATTCCATACTGATAGAATTGAGATGAAGGAGAATATACAACTATACAAGTAGAAAAAAACTACAGACTTCTGTCATATGGTTTTGGGTCAAAAGATAGTGTTAAATTCAATTTATATACTCTTTTCCGGTTCTTATTATAGGACATTTTTAATTGTTTCACACATATTAAGAAAAGTTAATTTTTTTCTTAATATCATAAAAAAGTGTGAGATACTTTTATTTTTACTCTTGGCTTTAAATAATAATACAACCACATTAAATACCTTCACGCTAATAAAAAAGGGTAAAATTGGGAAAAGTGGTTTAATTATTACAAAGTGTCATATATTTTAAATCAAAAATCAGTTCTAGAATGTCTTATAAATAGGATCAGAAGGAGTATTTCTTTTAAAAATTCTACCAAGAAGACGACCCAATGAATCTCTTTTGAGCCCAACACTCATGCTAAAACTTAATTTTTAATCAAGCTATGGGAAGACATAAATATAGACTGCTTGGTCGTGGATGGCTTGGCATAGCATCCCGAACTACTTCAACTCAAGATTAAGCCTTTTTTTTTTTTTCCCTTCAAGGGGAAAAGATTATGACATTGCCATGTGTTCTATGATAATCTCAGAGAAAATGTTGTAAGCATATTTCACACACCTCTATAAGAAGGGCTTTTCTCATAGTCCCTGGTTGCTTGTAATAATATTGTGCCAGAGAGCACAATAATAAAGCCACATATACCTGACACAATGGTCCCACCACTTTGACCATCCCAATCCTGTGAGCATAAATGTGAAATGTAATCAGGCTCATTTTGTCACACTCAAAAGCAATAGAACCTTCCCATGTGTCCTAAATTAGATGCCAAAACTAGTTGTGCTAATACCTTAAACATTATTACACTGGCAAGGATTGTAAGTGTTGTAAACATGACATAATATATTGGAGAGACAACTGCAGTGTTGAAGGTGTCAAGAGCCTGAAATGTTAGAAACATGTTAAAGAATGTGTTGATTCATAACATCAGAAGACAATTTACAGCACTGATCTAACTTGAAGCTTTTTTTTTTTTTTTTTCTCTGTACGTTCAATAAAAGCAGATACAGTTTTAATAAAATAAGACCAAAATAACACACAACATAATAGATCAATCAGAAGACACAAACTATTAAAATACATGTTAGTGTATGTGAAAGATTATACATCACTGAGAGGTGGTATGCATCAGAAATTTTGCAATATCAACTCCTTTTAAAAAAAAATTAATGGAACATTTAATCAATTTTAAACTTGTGAAAGATCATTTAATTGATTACATCCAATGATAGACTATAGGGCAATGGATCAAAAGGAAACAGAATAAAGAAAACAAAAGTAGAGTAGTTAGTTAGGCTGAACAGTTGCTATTTTCTGCAAGTATGCCCATCTCTTTCAGACAACCATTGGTAAAACAACAAAGACTAAGCCCAGATAAGAATATTACATATTGCGAAATCTAAGACGAGAAGTATGAAGTTATGAACTAGCGTACTCAGAAGAATGCAGTGCTCTCATATTATCATATTGAAATCCAGTTTTTCTTGAAGAAGCACTCAAGCATGACAAGATACAGAACAACTTATCAATTCTGTAATTCTTAGAAGAACAAGTATACTGCGAAATCTTTTATTTAATTGCTTTGGCACTCCTTTTCTTTTCCTTTACTATTTAAGCTTCTTCATTCTTCAATTGCATTGTAATCTAGCTGTGCCAAGACGAAGGTACTAGAAAAAAAAGCCCTTCTCTACTACGTGGTAGCACCAAATATCATATAGTTATATCAAAAAATTTGGTCAAATGATGAAACTACTGCAAATATGTCAATGGAAAGGGAAATAAAACTAAATTTGTTTTAGAGGAGAAAGGGCATTCTTCCAAGTCCAGAAAACTTTCAAAATGTAATATGCTTATGCCACCAGGCTAATGTCAAGGCACGTTCAGTACAAACCTTGTTGAGATAATTCATTTGAGTGATGACACATGTAGCCACAACCAACATAAAAAACCAAGTCTCTGGGTAGATTAACTGATTGTTGCCTTCAAAAGTTAATTTTAATGAAGTTCCAAGGGCTTTAACGCTCATGACCTGAAAAATCAAAATAATTTCACATAGATAGGCAAATAAGGGATTAAATCCACAATTCAATTTTCCAGATTTAGAAACAAGAGAGATATGAAGGATAAAAGATACAGAAAAACATTTTGACAGTCTATATAATCATAATCATTACTATATGTAAAGTAACATAGAAAGAGTAACATAGAAAGCAATTTGAGAGCAAACTTTACCAGTTCAGACTAGTCAGAAGATTGATGAGCGATAGCTATTAAATCACTTACCGAGAGGGACCCTGCCAATGAACAAATTCCGGTGTAAACTAGCACATTGGTATGCCCACAGCTTGGTACAAAATGGAAGACAAGAATGAAAACCAAAACTACAACTGAGCACACATATACCAGAAAGGCTGCATAGAACGGGCAATCATTTGTTATTTAGGGAACTATAGCAAAACACATATAAAATGCTATGGTGAAGTATTCTTACCTGGTTGAGTAGCCATAGTCCATATTTCCTTAACAGAGTCAATAGGATGCTCCTTGGGTGCATGAATAACAACAATGACAGAACCAACAATGCACATTACACAGCCCATGATCCCAAGCGGGTGTAGCTTCTCCTTCAGAATAATGTCAGCCAAAATAGCACTAGAGGATACACATTCATAAATCATGAAGAAGGAATTATGTTACCTGCCAATATTTGTAGGAAAAAAAAAAAAATACTGTCTCAATTCATGTTAAAGATTGAAATTAGACAAATACCTCACAATTATACTTAATGCTCCAAGAGGGGTAACTAGAACTGCTGGGGCGAATGCATATGCAACAAAGTTTGCAACCTCTCCAACAATCACTAAATCAAAAACCACACAACAACAAGGATTCTTCTTGAGAACAGATACAAATAAAAAAGCCAATGATAAATCACAATACGCTAGTTCTACTTAATCATGAAGGGAAGTATAACTAGAGATGAATGACTCTTGCTCGAGAAAACATGTGTGGCCGTAGCCAAGGGAAAAAAACAACAATAAATCCAGACGCTCATTTCACAATGATTGGGGTCAAAAAAACAATACCAGTTATTGAGACAATGCTCAATTAAGTAGGATTAATATGAGCTTACTTGTGATCATCCCCAACCACCAGAGTGGCTCCAAGAGATAATAATACCCACCAACACCTACAAAATAAGAAATTAAGAAGCGTTTGTCACCAAAATAACCAATATATGGATTCCAAGAAGAAATAGAACAAAAAATAATAGAGAGAATAGCTATTCACCAGCCCTGACACCCGAAGCTGCAGCTGCTCTTTTGAGGCCCTTCTTCTTGATGATAAAGCTTGCCCCAATGAACCCACTTGAAAGCAATGCTAGAATAACACCTTTCAGATTCTCATCGGAGATACCCATATCGAAAATTCGTCACTATTATTGTCTGATTTCAACCTCTTTCTTCTTCTCTTCATCGATAAGCTCCAACACGAGCAGAATTTGTCTTCCTTTCCTCAGATCATCCTTGCCCAATTCGTGATTTTCTTGTGACTTGTTGCCTTTGGCGATGAAAAGCTGAAAAAGAGACGATGCATATCCACTGTACAGCCCAATTATTCGACGAACAAAATTTAATTTATAGATTTAAGGGTTTGCTAAGGTGCGGGATTCCCCACCAAAGTTGTACGCTTTTTCATAAATAATTTGTTATGAAATTTTGACATGAACTGCAAACAGTTTTTTGGGTGATAACTTCTAACTGTTATATGTAAAAATTTTCTGTAAGAAATACAAGTGTGAGAATTGGTAATATGTCACATAAATCATTAATATCAATCATTATCAGCAATAAATAATATGAAAAATACGGTTTATTTCTCACTTTTCATATAAGTAACTAAAAAACACGTTTAATTTTAATTATATCAAAAGACAAAAAAAATTTGCTTTGAGATCTAATTAATTCAGTTGTTTTTAGTTTATTGTTAAAAACAAGAAATATGTATTATTAGCAATACATTATTAAAAACAAGAAAGATATATTATTAGCAATTCTTGCACGATTGTTTATTTAAAATATCGTAAGGCTTTTATTTCGGAGCAAATTCTTCTCAACAAGAGTTACTTTGTTTTTTGCTCAAAAAAAAAAAAAAGAGTTACTTTGTTAGAAAAATATATATTTTTTTAGGGGGAAAAACCCACCAACAGGCAATAATCCAACACCAAACATGTTTACAGTTTTTGAGAAATATTTAATATATTTAAAATTTAAAAAGGAGATAGCAGTTAGAAGAATTAGTTCTCCTTTCTTGTTATTAAATTAAAAAAGAGGTTAATAATTTCATATTTTAAAATTAATTTAATCAATCATTTACATCATAAAAAATTATTATACTTCAAAATACTCCCTCCATTTCTAGATATAAGAGAAAAAAAGGTATTGCACAGTTTAAAAAAGTTGATTAACCATAATAATTATATTTGAAAATAAAAAAATATCCCTATGTTAATCAACATAAGTATGTATTAATTATTTTCGTTAATGTAAATTATGAAGGGTAATTTAAAAAATGTATAATAAATGCCTATTAAAATATGTGATTTTGATTATAAAAAATAAGTAAAAAATGATAGTTTTTCTTACAAATAAAAATGAAGTAATATTATAATTTAAAGTTTATGTATGATAGGACTTTCTATCTTTTCTTGTTTGAAATACATTTTGAAATTAATATATATATATATATATATATAATATCAAATCCATAAAGAGTTGTAACATACAGGGTTGTATTATTCATGAACTATGAACAACAATTTTTTTTTTTGTGGTAGCATCATGCAATCTTTTTTTTTTTTTTGCAATTTTAATCCATACTGAGTTCCATGCAATATCGTTTTTATTTGTAAATATTTCTTTACATATTTTAATAAATTTAAATGTGATAAATAAAAATATTTTTTAAAAAATTATAAATTATCTTATTTCTTTCCGAACAAAAATATGATTGGCTTTAATTGAAAAAAGATAATCAAACGCAGCTATCAAGAGAATAAACGGTGATCAAAGTGGTAGTGCACGGGAAGCTATCCTGAGGATTACCACAGTAAAGTGAGCGACAAGGACACGTGTTGCGTTGTCGTGGACCATAAATGAAGAAGACTAGGCAAAAAGAGAAAGGGATCACGAAGCCCCATAAGCACGTAACTACTTTAACTGTATAGTGGGCCCACTACACTCACAATAATGCGGGATCAGGGTCTTTTTTTTTTTTTTTCCTTTCCCTCCATTTTTCTCAACCATCACATTTTTAGTAAATAATTTTTAAATAAAAACAATTAATGAATGGTGGAGAAGTAGAGGGAATGGAGAAAAAAAATGAAGAAATCCCACTTCTCAATAAGTGTGAACGCGTGTTCAAAGTTGATGGGTGATTAGGTTTCCCCCCATTTACATCAAAGTCAACTTTTTAATCTTTTTAAGTTCATTCATTGAATGAATAATGTGTGTAAGCATATATAAATAAATATTATTTCTTCTATTTAAATATAGATATTTTTAATTTGTAAAATAAATTATTATCTTTTTTTAAAATGTCTCTATAGTGACTTTATATTTTTATAAAGTTTAATAGGGGTAATATAAAAGATAGGATTAGTTTGAAAATAGGTAATTACTTTATTGAGGGTGAGATCGGTTAAAAATATCTTATATTTTTAACGGAGGGAGTAATTTATTTTATGGTCATTTTCTTTAAGTTTTGTTAATTTTCAACATTTGAAAAAGAATACTCCCTCCGTTAAAAAATGAAAGGCATTTCTAACCGAATTTCACTCCCAATAAAGTAGTTATTTACTTTTAACTAACCTATTTTTTATATTTATTCCTATTAAATACTCTACAATAAGTATAAAATTATTATTAATAGAGGCACTTTTAGGAATGATTACATCTCAAAAAATTAAAAATATCTTATATTTTTAACGGAGGGAGTATAAAATATAAATAACGATGTGACACTAATGGGCTTGGATTGTTGTTATTAACTTATTAGAAAATTGCCTTATTCCTTTTTATTCAATATTATAAGAAATTTTTAATTGAATTACATCTCTAATGAATTAATTAATTATTTATATGTAATTTTATATTTACTTTCATTTAATATGATTGTTTCAATTAAAAAAATATTATTAATTACACCGCTAATTAAGGATACTTTTTTCAAAACCTTATTAATTACATCTTAAAATATATAAAATACTTTATATTTTTTAACATGCTACTTTAAAAAATATATTATAATATTACCTAATAAAGCTGAGAAAAGAAAATGATAAGTGGGCCTAAGTTTTTGAAAAAGAATTATGACCATGAGTTTCATAAAAAAAAATCTTGAATTACTAATGAAGGTTGGGTCTAGAGAAAGGGGTTAGTCCCTCACAACTTAACAAATCAAAGTTTGAACTACTATTAGAAAAGATGTCTACATTTGGCACCTAATCATGTCTCGAAATATGTGAGTATTAAAAAAAGATATTGAATTTTACTGTGCCAAAATGTTTTAATCAGTATCAATGTTAATCATTAGTCAATGTGAAATATAAAAGTTATCCCTGAATATGAAAATGTTCTTTATTATGTTACACTGTTTTTTGAATCAAGAAAAATATTTTGGAGTATGGTCGAATATTAACAGGCGTGGCAAACTAAGAACGCTTGAAGAGGATTCTTGGATGAGAAGATATAAGTTTAGGGCAAGACTTAGGTAATTGGTGTTACATACTAAATGTACTTTATCCAATTAAATCAAAATGAATTTTTCTGTGTTAATAATATTAATAACAATAATTTATTATAAAATTAAAAAAATATATAAATGATACAAGTATCTTGATTTAATTGGAGATAAGTATTTTAAGTATATAAGGCCAATTATATAGGTTTTTTTCATATATTCATGGCATCTTTTAAAACTAAATATAATATATTACCTTTTATTTGAAAAATTATTTTTTATTATATTTTATCAATGTGTGGAACGATCCAACAAATTTTATCTTCATTCATGAATTCAGATTTTTTTTTTCCAATCAGAAAGTTGAAATTGGACTTTGCATACTTTTTTGGATAGAATGGTAAACCCAAACCCAATATACCAAAAAAAAAACCAATAATTTAAAACATATAAACATATTTAAAATCAGTTTCATTTCTATGTAATTTTAATTTATTTGGCATGGATTTGTCTCACTATTTAAAAAATTTATTGTGAAGATTTGCTTGGAAAGTTTAAGTTTAGCCATTGGAAATTTGAGTTTCTCTCCTCCTGCCCCTTTTTTCGGGAAAAAGAAGGCTATGGAAAACAGTGCAAATTATAATAAGGAAGAATGACAAATAAAAACCTTATAAGAACATTAATGTTAAATTAGAATTTTTTAACACTGACATTTTAAAATTTCAATGCTCATTCTACCATGTTTAAGTATTAAAGTTCTTAATTTGACATTAATGATCTTATAAGGTCTTTACTTGTCATTCTTCCTTACAATAATCAAATCATGTCAAAGCTTAATAGGCAGCAATACAGACTTCTACAACCTAATGGTAAATCAACAAAAATCATCGAGTCTAAATTTTCTTCTGAAGCTTGATAGGCAAGCCAATTAGCACATTGTTTGCTTTTTTATAGGCATGATTGAAAGTTATCATCCAGTCTCTCATGGTAAGACTCCTAATCTCGTTGATAGCATATGAGAGAAGATAATTTTTAGTGAAATCATGTTGAATAATAAGCGAGAGTTTGGAGGAAGTTCAAGTAGATATTGACTTTAATAAATTTATATTTTTTTAATACAAGGCTATGGAAAACAGTGCAAAACTAAGTCAAGTCATATAAGAGCATGATATTCTAGCGGAGGGTCATAAAAAATTAAGATGTCATTATTGTCATTCGATACTTGATGAGCAAGCCAGTCTTCAATAAATTTATTGTACCCAACAAAGAATAAGCCTTCTAGGATAGCCAAACCTGCTTCTATCTTAACTTTCTAAAGGTGAAAAACTCTAAAGAGTTCAAACTTTCCATACCAACATTCTTTGATATCCTCCACATAAAAACAAGCCCATCACTATATATGTCTTCTAAAAGTCGCACTATTCATGAAGTCATAAATAGTACAGCTTCCGACCTTACACGGAGTCAGAGTCGAGCCCGAGATCTTAACTAGAATTAAAAGTAGTGACTGATGTACAGGGCAAAGAAAGGAGCAGAGTTATTAGAATTAACAAGCAAATGAAAAGTTCCGCTTGAAGAGAGGACAATAAAGGAGATATAACATGTATATTTTACAGAATAGCTTGAAAAGAACAGTACAGGAATAACTAGTTACAAGGATGGCTGATCTGATCCGATCTGATATGATCAGATTCTTGAAGGAATCATAGGAGTGGTGTTCAGCAAGTATGCACTTGCTGCACCAACTCCACTTCCAAGCTTCACTGGGTATCCCACATCTTTCAGAATCATCTCCACACCAGCAAGACAACCCAACAGTTGTAACTGAAAAACATTTTCTTAATGGTTAATCACTACGATTTGGCTTTTGTAACTTGTAATGGTAGGTTAAGTG